TCACAGTAGTACAGAGGATGAAAGATCACTTGGAGTCACGATTCAGTTAGACCACCAAGAGGCCTAAATGTCTCTAGTTTCTCATTCTTTGTGGCTGTGTAGTATTCCATTCATGGAAAAAATATTTCTTTATCCAGTCTCCAGTTGATGGGCAGTTGGGCTGCTTCCAAGTTTTAGCTGTCACGAATTATGCTGTGATGAACATGGGTGCACATATATTAGGGTGATACTCTTAAGTGAAATAAATAGAACACACACATGTGAATACCAAATAGTTTCTCTAGTGTGAGAAACTGAAAGCTAAATAAGGACTAAAAGGTATAATAGGTAATGTGAAATAGGAAGAAAAGGGGCAGTAGGGGAAGTGGAGGGGTAGGGGAAAAGAAAGAAGGGAATGGAATTAATGTGAGAAAATGAAAAACGGAAACAAAGTCTTTGTAAATAGGGAGGGGTGGAGGGGTTTGAAGGTAGGGCAGAGGAATTGGGAAAAATAAGAACCAAGATGGATTATATAAAGGTGCAAATTTCCAATGATGAATGTGATTTTACTGTATACCTTAAATGTACCAATACAATTAACTAAAAAAAAAGAAACCCCATATAAACAAATGCACTGCCCATGTGGCAGTCAAGGTAAACAGTTAAATGATTAAGCATCCTCATCAGGGCGGAGGGACACAATAGCCAGAGCAACCATGTCTGTGAATAACATTGTTGATTCTGGTTGGCTCTTGCCTCTGCAGATCTGCTCTGAACTTTATCTATGCATTTCAGAAGCCCTGGGACTGTTGCACCATAGTCCTTTTCTTTTTACATTCATTTCCTCTGCCCAGATTCTACTCACTGGTTTCTAGAAATAGGTCTGAAATTTTATAGAAATTAGCTAGTTGGCTTTGGTTTAGGGTCTGGTTAAGACTGTACTCCAGCTGCTAGCTTGGTAGCAGTGTTGTTTTTTGTTTTCATGGTACCAAGACTGGAACCCAGAGCACTCCACCATTAAACTACAGCTCCAATCCTATGACTGCAGTTCCCTTAGCTTTAGGATAAGGAAGTTTGCATTTACAGGTTAACCTATATGACTGTTGTCCAGAGGCTTCAATTCTCTACCATGTGTTCCACCCCATCTGGGTGTTGTTAATGGCTGTCAAGTTCCTCCAGGGTGAGTAGTGACCTGAAAGTATATGAGTGCCCAACATAGAAGCCACAGTCTTTTCTGATCTGCTGTCAGGTGATACCGCCACTATTTTTGCAGTATTCTACTGGTCATAAAGACCAAATGGTATCATTTTAACTAATTGTCTTCTTTCTCTGGGGTTTAGGGATTGGTCAAGTTTTAAAATGTGAATTTGAAGTTTTAAAATTGAGTAAGTCTCGAGCATACTTGGGAAGTTGTTGATCTTTTCTGCTACAGTGTGGGAGGGATTATACAAGAGTCTAAATATTAGGAAGAAGGAAGTGGATGGAATTTGGGGGGCTGATAAATATACTAGGTCATTAAGCATGCTCAAATAGAATTTCAAAAATCATTTCTAGATTCCTTTGCCAATTAGCTATGTAGTTTCACATTCCTACAAATTTTACCTGAGAGTTCGAGAATGACATATTTTATTTTCCTTAGGGCCTTTTCAATTTTAATTTTAGAGTTCTTATCTATTAAATTTTCTCTGTTAGTTTTAACATCTTCATTCATAATCAGTGTCATCTGGGAATTCTTGATATTCTGATGAATTCTTAATAATTTACTTTTTATCTCCTGTCATACCACCATAAATATGCCCAGTCTTATCTGGTAATAATTCACTTTCCATTTGTATACTTTTTGCTATTAAGAAAGCTTTTGCATAAAGATTTAACACAATTTACAATTTTACCTATTTTCAAAGCGCAATACATAAAATGTTTTAATATAATTTAGAATTAAAAGCAATGGCACACATAATTATATACTCATATATTCCATGATATATTTATATTATATAATAGAATTGATATAAGCAATTTGGAAAGAGCAAGAGGATGTGAGCTTTGAAACCCACATGATGAAATAAATATTAGCTCTATGAATGTGGGTCCACCGCACTAAATCAATATTATCCTTTGTTGCTCTCCTCTTCCTACACAAATATCAATGCAATGAAAATCCTTAGTCTGTGATGGAGACTCTGTCTCTCTCTCTCTCTCTCTCTCTCTCTCTCTCTCTCTCACTCTCTTCTCTACCTTATCCATCTTTATCTCTATCAAACTCTTTCTCAACATTTCTCTATCTCCATCTCCATTTCCATGTCTAAATGTGTGTGGAGCAGTGCATGCCCCCAGGAGGAAGCGCTACCTCATGAATACGTGTGTGCTGACTTTGCCTGCCCCGCGCCACGCTGCCCTCCAGAGGACCGGGCAGCCTGCACTTCCATCTAAAGGGCGGAGGTCCTCATCTGTTCATCTTTGTCGACACGGCATTGCCCATACTTTATCATTCTGACAGCCTTCGATAATAGTTCATTCTAAATTAGTCGAATTTCTGTGATGACTGATGGTAAGTCTCATTACGTGTTCATTAAGTTTTTGGCCACTTTAAACTTTTTAAAGATAGTAAATATCATAAAGCACTACCAAAATCCAACAAGGTAAAAGAAAGAATATGAAAATAAGTGAAATACAGTTTTGAAAATAATCAGAAATCCAGAAATATATAATGGGAATCTAGAAAACTCTAAAACTTCCAAAGAGAAAAAGAAGTTGCTATTTGAAGAAAAGAAAGGAAAGGAAAGAGCTCAGTTTCAGACTTCGCATCACCAGCACCAAATGCCAAAAGAAAATGCAGTAATACAGCCAATGTTGGATGAAAAAAATACAAATCTAGAATTCTATCCTAAGCAATTTTCTTTCATCTGTAAAGGTTAAAAAGACATGGAAATCCTGAAAATCTTTACTATTCGGTACCTTCTGTAAAAGAATTATTTACGAAAACCAAGCTCTTTGCTTCCTATACTTATGACCACAGTGGAAGGAGAGAAGGAGTAAAGGAGGAGAGGGAAAGAAGGAGGAAGAAGGGCAAGGGAGAGAGGGAGGGAAAAGTTCCTGTAATTTCAAAACAATGTGGTAAGATCCGCTGCCAGGGCTGGTTTCACTCCAGTTACAGCGTAGTTTCTAAGTTTCTCTGCTCTTCTGTTTGCTCTTCCAATGTATGGCATCTGCTTGTTTGCCTCGTCAGATCTCTGACTTGCTGAAGTCACGCTACAGAATAGGCCCCACTCTGAACGGATGTCTCTTCTAGGATGTCCCGTGTTCCGCACTCAAGATGATTCACAGAGTCAAAGGGATTTCGTTCCTGTAGGTTTTCTGTCTTAGAGTAATGTGAACTCTCTCCAAGACAGAACTATGACGTGTAAAGCAGTGTTAACCAAATTCCATATCCGTGGAGACCTGTGGGGTTGGCGAACATTGTGCAGGATCTCTGCCTTAAGAACTACTTTGGAAAAATGTAGTCTAGAATTCTGTTGCCTCGTCTTTGACTATCATGTCCAATATGAAAACATAAATATTCCACACTTTGTGCCTTGTAAACAATGTACATAAAATAGCTCTCTTTCAATAAAAATAAATGAATCAAGATATTATTTATTATAAAAATGCTCACACAGGGTGTATATGATGTCTGTAGTAAACACTGGAGACCTCTACCGTTAGGTTCCAGGATCCTGCTCCATATACAAAACAGGCTTGAGAAATAAAACTAAAAGATAGAACACTAGGAGAGAAAATGGGGTACCGGGACGACCAATGCTGCTGCAACCGACAAAGACCCTGGCCAGACCCAGGCACTAATTTTTACTGGCAATCAACCGGGATAAAGCCAAGCTATGTGCAAGAGCATGACATGTAGTTTCCAGTGAAATTAATGGGAACAGGGCTCATAAAGGACAAGACAAAGCATTTTTGAATTAGGGACACAATAGACAAAATCTATGGTTGCAATTAGAATACTGTCCTCCAGTAAGAAGGTTTTACTTGTGGGAATGGAATTTGTGTGCAAGTTACTTTGACCTCCATGTGTAGGCTTCAGCCGGATTTACTTCTATAAATAAGCCAATTGTGGGGCTAATTCTGCATAGATTTGGGCATAATCAGTATTACGGTCCCTTCCAGTAAACCACTGCTTCTGTCTCATGATTGAGGTAAACCATAAGCTAATATCTTCAGAACAAAAACATTTGCCTACTTCTATTGTATAACACACTGCCTATGAAAAAAACCAATAAAGCCTCTTAGTTCTATAAATCTAGTAAAAATCCTGAGGTTTCTAATGCAGATTTTATTTATTTATTTATTGAGTTTATTGGTACATTTTAGGTACAGATTTTCATCACCATTATCATTGAGAATTTGTACCTGTACATGATATATCTTGGTTCTCATTTTTCCTGTTCCCATGCCCTCCTTTCAACTCCTTGACCCTTCCCTATTTACATAAGCTTTGTTTCCATTTTTCCTTCATTTTTCATTTTTTTCTTTCCCTTCTTTCCTTTCCCCTATCTTACCCCTCCAACTTCCCCTTCTCTTTTGAAACTTTTCTTCGTATTTCATAATATCTGTTATTCATTTTGGTTCTCATTTACATTTTCAGTTCCTCACACCTGAAAACTAATGCACTATTTATACATGTGTGTCCTATTTATTTCACTTAAGAGTATGGCCTCAAGGTACATCTATTTAGCTAGAAATGTCTCTAATTTATCTTTCTTTATGGCTGACTAGTACTACATTTTATATATAAAAAAAAAGACACATATCTTGACTGTTTCCAATATTTAGCTATTACAAACTCTGCTATTCTAAATGTGAGTGTGTGTACATCACTGTGGTATGATGCCTTTAATTCTTTTGGGAATATACCCAGAAAGGGAATAACTGGGTCAAATGGGACCTCTAATCCTAGTTGTTGCAGGTATCTCCATATTGATTTCCACAGTGGTTGCACCAGTCTGCACTCCCACCAACAATGGAGAAGGGTTCATTTTTCTCCACGTCCCTGCCAGCATTTGTTATTGGTTGTTTTCTTGAATAGCAGCTACTCTTTCCAGGGTCAGATGGAATCTCAATGTTCTTTTTTATCTGCGCCTCTCAAATGACCAGTGATGTTGAATATTTTTTCATATGTTCATTTGTTATGTAGATTTTTGTCATAGACTTCTGCGGTGGTTGTCCTCAAAGATCTTGAAGCTGATCACGAGTCTGAGCCCTTGGACCTTAACTGAAAAACAAAACATGTTGATCTGCAATTTTTGTGTTTGGCTTTATTTTTTGAGCCTTAATTTACTTATATTTATCATTCTGACCTGGCTCAAAATTTAGATTTTATGTTCTTTCTTAAAATTAATTTGATTGGTACATTTTAGATATACATAATGATCACATTCATCATTGGGAATAATAAGATATCAAAATTCTTTTTTCTTCAATCCCCTCTCCTCACTTCAACCCCTCTTTCCTTCCTTATTTTTACAAAGCTCTCTTTCCATTTTTCCTTTCTGTTCTCTTTTTCTTCTCTCTTTTTTCCTTTTCCCTTCCCCCTTGTTCTCTTTCCTTGTTCTCCTTCCATTTGAACTTTTTTTCCCTATTTGTCAATATCTATTATATATTCGGTCCTCATTTACCCTTTCAGTTTCTCACCCTGGAGAAATAATATGATATTTAAACATATGTGTCCTTTTTTTTCAGTTAATAATATGGTCTCAAAGTGCATCTATTTACCTATACATGTCTCAAGTTTATCCTTTGCTATTGCATAGTTGTCCTCCATTGTATAATAAGCTACATCTTCTTTAGTTGTTGGGAATTTGTTTTGTTTCGAAGATTTAGCTATTACAAATTGTGCTTGTATAAACATGGGCGTGCATATATAGCTATGGTATGATGTTTTCAGGGCTCCTGGGAAGATACCAAAGAAAAGGAAGTTGCTGGGTCAAATAAAATGAGGCAGTTTCATATCTTCCACTTCTTCTCTATCTTAATACAGTATTTTCTCACAAAATTTAATGTAATTTTTAAATGCTTAGATCTGTATTTTTATGAATGAAAATAATTTTTATTGTACATAACATAAAAACATACTATTAATACATTATATTTAAATAGTGCAAATATCATGAGATTTGAAGAGTGAACAAATAGTTATAACATCCAACTAAAAAATAAAATTCCATCATTACATAATTATTGAAATATCTATTTTCTTATCTAAGAAATGATAAAAGCAACCAGATAAAATTTGTGAATTTTCCCTTTCTGCAATTTTTCCCCCAATGCCCACTGTTCCAAATGCTAGAAAGTTCTGCTTCCCTTATGAGCAAAAGACAGATGATGAGATGTGGATCTCACAGAACCGACTTAAAGTGTTTTACAGTACAGCTTGTGGAAAAAAAAAAAAAAACTCTTATTTCCTTGTAAAAATGTTCACATTGTCACCCACCCACTCCGCTTGATATAAATAAAGATTACACAGAGAAATTGTATAAATTAAACTGCATAACACAACTTGAGCACTCTACAATTATTACTTCTTCCACTTTCCCACACATCCATCTCAATAGTGCCTACTATAAAACAATTTCTTGTCAGAATGTCTACTACTGATTTCCTCTAAGGAAATTCCTACTTGCATTCAGCTTTCTTTTCCAACTTTTTTTTTCCTGTTATTTGAACTATATTTAAGCAGAAGAATCCTTACATAACAAACCACTGTGTTTCCTATCAGCAGACTTCACTATAAGTCACTTTAACCTTTTAGTCTACTTTACTTGGAGTTCTAACAATCTGTATTCACAAAGGTTTTGGCATCGTAACAATGCAATTAAAAGTCAGACATTTGTTATTTCCAAATATTCTCACTTAGTGTAGGTTTTTAAAAGTTATTTTCGTAGTCTCTCTTTACTGAAATTATCACTCAGCAGAGTACATTTCACCATAGTAAATTAGACTTGGAGAAGTATGAAAAAATTAGTTACAAAAGCTTTTCACTTACTTCCATTTTAGTGAAAGATTGACAAGAGTTTACACAGCGTGTTCCCCATGGCGTTTTGAATAGCGCTTCCAAATTATGGCTCAGCACCTCCTAAGAACTGAAATTCATGGAGCAAAGACTTTCTAGAGCACTGTTGGATCTTAGCTGCTGCCTCATCTCTCTTCAGAAGAGAATTCCCAACACACATAGCTCTCGTGAATCTGTGTGTGTCTGGAAGGGAGGTTGAGGAGACAAAGAAGTAGAAAGAGTAAGGGAAAGAAATGAGACGGAAAGGATTAGGAGAGGTTTTAATTAAGAGCCACATAAATGACTAATAATGTATCACTCTTTGAGCCTAAAGTAAAATGAAGGGTCCTTTATGTTTTTCACACCCAAATTCGGATGGGGTGGCTAAATGAGGATATTCTTCCTTTAGAAAAGCCCACAAATTTTTTAAGCATGAATTATAACCATCTTTGTGACAATATTTCTCTGTGACTGTTCAGTTTTCAAAATGGAAATTGATAGAATGTCAGTTCCTTTTTATTTGGGGGGAAATGATTGCATGAAGCCCCTTTGAAAGCATTCCTCCAGTGCAAGCATTTTAAATAATTTCTCAAAGGAAAGTACTGTATTCTGAGTGAATAGCATGACACTATGAACTATATCTGACGTGAGATTTTGCATCAGTGGGCCTGTCGATGCTCCTTAGTTCCACTATAATGAAATGAAAATCATGCTAGCTTGGAAGAAGTATCTCCCTCACCCTGATACTCTTTATTAACTGTGGAATTGGACTATTTTCTTCACCATGGCAACAAAGGCACTCAGTAGAGTTAGCTCTCAGCTTTCCTGCACAAGGTGATGAGGAAAAACCAGCTACAAAGAAAAGTGAAGCAAATAAATATTCCAGGAAGCAAGGAGTTAAAGGAAACCCTGAATCCAGGGCAGCACGAACTCAATAATCAACATTAAAGGCCTTTTTCAAACAGATTTTACTAGGCAAGGTAGGACTAACAGAAAAGATTTTCAATTTATACTAGATTAAATCTCAGAATGGATGACTTTTAATATCATCCAGTCAACTAAGAACCAACTGAAATGATTTATTTTAGAGTAAAGGTAATGTCAGTAAAAATATAGATAGACCAATATTTTTGAAATAAGGCCTTGAATTACTTATATACACCATGATTGAAATGCAAAAAATTTGATCTTGTCAGCTACTGATTTTTTTTAAAAAATCAATGCTGATTTACACTATGAAATACTTTAGTCATATTTCTTTTTCCAAAAAATAATTTGACCTAAGATGTCAGATAGTCTCATTTCTGTTCAACTTAACATTGTTCAAAATGTTCAAGGCTATTCGTCTTCCTTTGACAAGTAATACATTGTCTTTCACCAGGGCAGGCTCATACGGCCAAAACTACTGAAAGGGGGCTAATTGGTTAGTTCTTTTGCTTAAAATGTGGGGGATCACATTAGAGTTTGCATTAGGAGAAATGAAAAAATTAATAAAAGAAATCAATACTAGCTAAATAGAAATCAAATTATTTATTTACAACCAGAAGGCCATGGAAAGGTTTGACTGAATCACCAGAGTTTTACTCAATTGAATTTTCAAGATTAAGAAAAAGACAAAAAGAAGAAGAAAAAAAAAAAAGAAAAGAAAGCAGTCAATTTTGTCACCTTTTGTAAGTAAATAAAATAAATAACACACACTGCAGATTTGTCCTGAATACCGGGGCAGTTTTCAGCATCATGTTTTATTAACAAGCTAAGTTGCTATTTATGTTTAGAGAAAAGACTCAAGAGACTATACCACATGTAGAAAAATAATTTAGGAGACCTTCTAGGCAAGAAGAAAAATTATTATTTAAATAACTGCCTTCTGACCACAGTAAAATTAGGGAAATTAACCAACAATAGCAATTAAGTATTCCATTAATATGAAAACTACACAATGATACCAATGCAATATTATAAATGTCAAAATCCAATTATCCATTACAAAGTGTTTTTGAGCAAACTGAATGTGCGCATTGTACAAAGGTCCCGAGAGTGAGTGTCCGGTGTGGCATTCTGGAAATTAGTAAAAAAAAAAAAAAGGAACATTCAGAGCAACTGCTTCTTGAGCCCTTACTAAACTCTGGGTGCCTCTCTAGGGGATTTACAATGATTTGCAATAATTCTGCCCCATTTCCATCTTTATTTTACAGAAGGCAAAATTAAAGATGTGTGTAAGATCACAAAGGTGCATTGTTAGTTAAGTGAACTGGCATTTTAACATAGGTTTGAGCTGCAGTTACTGTGTACATTAAAATGTACAGTCCTGCAAAGAAGAAGCTGTCAGGTGCACTATTCACCATCTTAATCTTGGAAGAGAGAACTAGGACTGTCATACTGAGGTGGAGAAAGAGTATGTGAACTCATTGGTACAGAGGCACAGAGGGATGCAACACATTGGGGAAATGAAGAAGTGCGGCAGAGGAGAGAAAAGTACCAAGAGTTATGCTTTTAGATGGTTTCATCAGTCTCTGCCTTGGGGGAGAGAACAGGCCTAGAGGCAAGTCTAAGCTGGAGAAAGTTGTAGAATAAGAAGCCACGAAAAACACTTTCAACCCCAGATGAAAGTGATTTGTGAAGAGGAACTACGAACTGAGCAACCAAGACTTCTAAGGAGGACATGCGCTATCTGTATCACATATTCTGATCAGGCGTCTAGCGTGAGATGTCAGAAGGATGTGGCCATGCCCGGAGGTGCCGGTGTGCTCAGAAATACATAGGAATGGTGTTTACAGGGAGCACCATAGATGAGGTTGTGTTCTTTAGCTTAGTGGTACTGACCTTGGCAGAGAGTGTGAGACAGACGTAGACAATTCAGTAAGAAGTTGCTACATTTTGGTTGTTACATTAATTTAGATTTTGGGTGCAGCAGTGCTAGAAATCTTAGCATTTCTGGCAGTAGGTCAGATGAAGCCCAAGTTGGTTCCTTATTTAAGAGAAGCACATGAGGAGTTTATGCCCTGTTACGGTGCCAATAATTCACATTATTGCAAAGGTCATTTCAATAACCCACACCTCCATTTTCCCAGTTGCAATATGGTAAGTTACTTTTAAGCTCTAACGTCTTTCTGATTCAATGTTCTGTAACTCTCTTAGGAATACCAAAGAGTTTATAAGAACTTCTGAGCTGACTAAAATTATCTCTTCTTGAGGAAAACCTAAAGATCAGAAGAGGTAGGCCTGAGCTTGAGCCAATAGAACCCAGCAGCTGTAAATCAAAGATACTACTTATAATTATACAATGCCAATTCTGAGTTGTAAGAGATAACTTCTTAAGTAAGATCACTATTTTATGTAACCAAAGGTTTAATTATAGCTGTTAACGTGTACCAATCAGATAGCATAAGAATAAAGTACAAAAATTTGTACTTATAAAAGTTATACAAATTCACTGTGTTCTACTTAAAATTCAACATAGTGAATGAAAAAAATAAGGTGTTCAACAATATTTTCTGATAATCATATTAATGTCTCCATTTCTTTCCGTAGTTTTGACACTTCCTGATGGCTCTACACACAGTGAACCTCCTTATTACTGGGATTTTGTTTCTTTTGTCTTGATATCCCTGACCTTAGCATTAATAGATGCTTTAAACATAGGCTTTCATCCTGTAACAACTTAGAATAAGGAAGCAATATTTTAAAATTTTATTGGTACGTTTTAGTCATACAATATAATGACATCGTGGCTTCTTATTCTTACCATAACTTTGACAAAGGAGCCAAACACCCTCACTAAAGGAAAGATAGCCTCTGTAATAAATGTGGTTGTAAAGACGGTATTTCAACTTGTCAAATATTAAAACTAGTCCTGTATCTTTCACTGGACACTAAATTAAAATACAAGTGGATGGAAAATACAAACATTAAAACAGAAACACTAAACTTGCTAGAAGATATATTAGGTAGAACTCTTAAAGATATCGGTACAGCAAAAAACTTTATGAACAAATCCTCAGTCATATGGGACCTAGCACAAAGATTCAGCAATTCAGATCTCATCTTTTTAAAAATCTTCTGCACTGCCAGAGAAATTACAAGCAGATCTAAGAGACAACCCACAATGTGGGAAAAAATTTTTATCAGCTATTCCTCAACAGTGGTCTACTACCTGGAATATATAAAGAACTCAAAAAAACAAATCAGACCCGCCAAATATAAATACCCAATTCAAAATGGTCATCTGAAATGAACAGACATTTCTCAAAGAAGGTAAGCTGCAAATATTCATATGAAAATATGTTCAACATCATTGGTTTTTCAAGAGGTGCAGATGAAAACAATACTGAGATTTCATCTCACCCTAGTAAGAATGGCTGTTTGAAAACAATACTGAGATTTCATCTCACCCTAGTAAGAATGGCTGTTTGAAAACAATACTGAGATTTCATCTCACCCTAGTAAGAATGGCTGTTTGAAAACAATACTGAGATTTCATCTCACCCTAGTAAGAATGGCTGTTTGAAAACAATACTGAGATTTCATCTCACCCTAGTAAGAATGGCTGTTATCAAGAAATCAACCCACAACAAAGGCTGGCAGGGTTGTGGGGAGATGGGAATGCTTCTTCATTGTTGGTGGGAGTCCAGAATGATGCAACCCTATGGAAATCAATATAGAGATACCTAAAACAACTAGGATTAGAGTTCCCATTTGACCAAGCTATTCTTCTGCAGGGTATCTTCCAAAACAAATTAAAAGAATCATGCCACAGTGATGTATGCTCAACCATATTTATAGCAGCACAGTTTGTAATAGCTGAAGTTTGGAAACAGCCCACTTGCCCATCAACTGGAGATATTCAACCATAATGAATGAGAAACTAGAGAAATTTTTTCGGTAAGTGGATGTACATTAAGGCCATACTCAAGTGAAATTAATAAGTCAAATATGTGCAAATACCAAATAGTTTCTCTGGTGTGAAAAAGTAAAAGTATAAATAAGGATCAAATGTATAAATGATATTGCATAATAGGAAGCAAAGTCTAAAAGTATAGGAATTGGGAGGAGTAGGGAAAGGTAAAAAGGGAAAAGAAAAAATATATGAAAAGGAAAACATATGAAGAATGTCTTTGTAAACAGAGAAGGGTGGAGGGGGTGAAGGGAGGGCTGGGGAAGGGGGAAAAATAAGAACCAAGATATGTCACGTAAAAGTACAAGATCCCAATGATGAATGCAACTGTATTGTATACCTAAAATGTACCAATACATTTAATAAAGATGTAAAGAAGAGCTTGAGTTTCATTATTTTTTTTCTAACTAAAAAAAATGTGTGTGTGTGTGTGTGACACTGGGGTATTGAGGTCTCCCACTACTAATGTATTAGTGCTTATTTAGTTTTTCATACCTGTTAGTATTCATTTTGTATAATTGGCTGCACCAATATTTGGTTCATGTATATTTATGATTGTCATCTCTTCCTCTTGTATTTTTCTCTTTATAAAGATGTAGTGCCTTTCTGTGTCTCTCTTCATTACTGTTGTTTTGAAATACATTTTAACTGCAAAAAGCATAGCTACTCCTGCTTTTTTTTCCTGCTTTCTGTTGCATGGAATATTGTTTTCCACCCTTTAAATTTCAGTCTATGATTTTCTTTTTGAATGAAGTGTGTTTCTTGTATGCAGCATATTGTTAGATCTTACTTCTTGACTCATTCTGCCAGTCTATTTCTTTTGATTGGTGAATTGAAACCATTAACATTGATAGTTATAACTGATATTTATTGATTTATCTTTGTCAAGATCTTTTCCTGGTGTTGGATTCTCCCCCTTTGCATTTAATTTCTTGGCTTGTCTGATGGATCCATTCTGCTTGGCTTCCTGGGGCTGTTATCCTCATTGTCTTTTCCTAGGATATTGTTTAAAATATTTTTGGAGTACTGGTTTGGTATTCATGAATTTCCTCAGGTGCTCTTTTTCAGGAAAGTAACTTATTTCTCTGTCAATTTTGAAAGATATTTTTGCAGGGTACCTCAGTCTGGGTTGGAGGTTGTTTTCCTGTAGGGATTTAAGTCCATCATTCCAAGCTTTTCTTGCCTCATTGGTCTATATTGAGAAGTCTGCTGTGATTCTGATGGAGTTTCCTTTTTTTGTGATTTGTTTCTTTTCTCTAAGGATTTGTTCCTCTGTTTATCTGGAATCTTAATTATTATATTCCTATATGTAGTTTTTTTTTTATCATGGCTAGTTGGAATACTGTATGCCTTATTTATCTGTTTATCAAGTTCTTTTCCCCTACTTGGGAAATTTTATGCCATTACTTCTGTGAACAGTTTTTTATTTTAAGTCGTTTGCACTCTCCTCTGTTTCTTCATCAACTCTAATCAGTCAAATTTTATTCTTGTACATAGTAAAGGGACTTTGCTGGTGTGATTTAGTTGAGGAACTTGGGGTGAGGAGTTGTTGCATATGAGGGTTTTTATAAGAAAAAAGGAAGGGTAATCATCAGAAAAGAATGTGGATATGGGATATTGGAAGGAGAGGTTGAGCTGTGGACCGAGAGGATAGAGGAGCCCAGGCGCCAAAGAACACTGATCAATTCCCCAAACTATCAAAGGTAAATAGACAAATTCTACCCTCGAGCTCCCAGAAGGAACACAGATCTGCCAACATCTTAACTTTAGGCCCAGAATATTCAATGTGTACTTTTGACCTCTAGAATGATAAAGAAAATGGGTGGCATTATTTCAAATCATGAAGTTTTTGGTGATTTGCCCCGGGAACGATAACAAATGGCTACAGCTCATACCAGCAGACATGGGAGTGTAATTAGAAAACACCAGAACTCATTGAAGGAGCCTGGTGATAAAGTGGGAGTGCCCTGCAGGGGACCGCATGTGAGAAATATTCAGGGCACACCTGGAAAGTCTGGGGATGAGGGCCAAAGCCCTGTGTTGCAGTCAAGGGCAATGAAACACGAAGGCTAGAACATCATGGATAATCTGGTCTTATTTATAACCAAAGGCCAGCAAATTCAATTTCAGAAGGACTTAAACAGAGAAACTGGCAAACAAACCTAATTCTCATCAATTTCAGCTTGAAAAGCTTGCCTGCCATTGGTGGAAACTGTGTGTTACCAATGAAGCCAGATATTCCTTCCTCTCCATCCTATCATCCACATCCAAAGTTATTCCTTTGTCCTATTGGCAAATGAAGTCGGAAAAGCTCAAGTACAGACAAAACCAGTGCCTCACCCTTGCAGAATCAGGTTGGCTTTCTGACATGAGAACATGTTTTATAACCAGAAACAAGGGAAGGGCTGAAACGGTGTGGCATTTATTCTAAATGAGAATTATGTAGCTGGCAATTGGACTCCAATATGCGTATTTAGAGAGCTTGGGGTGGGAGGACTGGCATTATCCCTGGGTTGTCACTCATCATTACAATTCTGGTTTCCATGGTAACAGCAACTGAGAAAAAGTTTAAAAATTACAGCATCTTCCATAAGAGACACCTATGACTCAGAGATCACTGTAATACCTTATTACTATAAACAGGCATTTCATACTTTGCAAGAAACAATATCATGCTTATGTGTGCTATAGTCCTTTTAAATTACAAAACTTTTCATACCCCTTCCTACTTTATAGAACTTACATTTAATCAAATGAACCCTACTACTGTGGAGAAAAAAAAGAGCTTGAATTACTAGTTACACTTAATTTGTTGTAAATTCCCAGGCCAGAGAAGCCCATATAGTTGATGTCACTTGATGCTAACAGTATTTATAACTCCTAAACTTATTAAGAGAATTTAGAAAAAATAACTTATTAGTCACACAAATAATTTACATGTGATTACAATAAAAGTTCCCATATATGCTGTATCATGCAGCCCATTTTAATAGTCCGTCATAACAATGTTTGTTTTATTGTGTTACAAATTCTTCCTCTTATAAATTTTAAGAGTTACTAAAATAATATTTCCAGGATAAATTGAATTCTATGTCTATATATCTTATTCCAAAAGAATTAAAGAAACCATATCAAAGAGATATATGTGCACCCATGCTCACAGCAGCATGGTTTGTAATAGCTAAAACTTGGAACCAACCCAAATGCCTGTCAGTTGGAGACTGGATAAAGAAAATGTGTTTTTTCTATAAAACAGAGTACTACTCAGCCATAAAGAATGAGAAACTAGAGTCATTCATAGGAAAATGGATACATAGTAAGGATAAATTCTTAAGTGAAATAAATAAGTCACACATGTGTAAATACCGAATAGTTTCTCTGGTATGAATAAACTGTAATAGTATATAAGATCCTAATGAGATAACTGACATTGTGTAATGGGAAAAAAAGGGCTAAAGTTGTAGGGAAAGTGGGAAGGGTAGGGGAAAGGTAATAAGGGAAAAGAAAAAAATGTGAGAAAATGAAAAGATGGAAATAAAATGTTTGTAAATGGGGAGGAGAGGAGGGGGTGAAGGGAGGGCAGGGACAAGGGGAAAAAATGAGAACCAAGACCTGTCATGTAAAGGTACAAGATCCCAGTGATGAATGTAACTGTACTGTATCCCTAGAATGTACCAATAAACTCAATTAAAAAAAAAGAAAAACCTAACTTTTTAATTCAGATTTTTTAAATACTTTAGGACATGTTAATCTCCTATATTAAACGGAGTTCCATGTGATATTTCCTGGCATGCACACAATGTTATTGTTCATTTTCAACTTTTTATCCACCACCCAGCCTAACCCCTAGTAATACCTGTTCTATTTCATGTCAGCCGCTCCCACTTATTTTTAGTTTCTACATAGGAGAAAGATCCTCGCAGAATTTTTATTTCTGTACCTGATTTATTTCATGTAACGTGTCTTCTTCTTCCACTCATTTGCCTGCAAATGACAGAATTGCATTCTCCTTTGTACCTGAACCATATTCCCCTGAGTATGCATGCCACATTTATTTGTATCTGTTCATCTATTGAGAGGCATTGATCCCTGTCTCCGCTAGTGGGAATAGTAGAATAACGTACATAAGCTTGCAAGCATCTCTTGGCATCCCGATTTCTTTTCCTTTGTTTGTCTGTCTAGAAGTGAGTCATGTGGTAGAACTATTTTTAGTTTTTTAAGGAACCTGTGTGTTGTTCGCCATAGCATCTATACTAATTTGTGTACATATTATTAGTGCATTAGCTGCTTTTTTTTCCATGTGCTCATTAGCATTTACTTTTTGAGTTTTGTTTAATAGTAGTTATTCTAACTGGGGTGAAATGGTTATCTCCTGATAGCTAAAGATATTGAGCACTTTTCATATATTTATTGGACATTCTTTTGAGAGGTGTTTCTTTGTGTCATTTGCCCATTATTAAATTGAACTCCATGAGCAGTTAATTTTGAAGTTATCTCAATCCTTTACACACTGTGGATATTAACCCTCCTTTATCTCTTCACTCTATTTCCTTTGCTATGCAGACGCATTTTAGTTTAATGTAATCACATTGGTCAATTATTGTTTTTGTTTTCTGTACTTTGGGAGTTCTATCAGAAGACCACTGTTTATACCAAGGTCCTGAAGAGTTTTCCCCAAGTATTCATAGAGTGGTTACAGAGTAACTCCAATTTTTCTACAAAGATACGTGGATTGACCTCAATACAAGAACCAATAATATCAACCAAAGTCTAATTAAGGTAAATAGATGTTTTCTGACTGAATCTGGGGCCAGTTTTTATTTTTCTTTTGCTATCGTAAGTATCTACAGTACCAAAAACATTGCAATGATACAAGTACTTTAATATACTTGCAACTGCTTGTAGAGTCATAGAGATGGGAATGCCACCCTAGGAACAATAATTAAGCTCACTACATCACTCATGTGTTTGTGGTGATTCTAGAATAAACAAACCTACCACTGCCCAGATTATAAAGAGTAGCAAATATAATTTCATACAGCATGTAATACTTGAGCATGATAATAAATGATTGTGTCACTAGTTGGTGTATATATCTTACTGTATTTTATGTCATTTTAGAGTGTATTTCTTTGGCTTATATATTTATAAAAGGCTACGGTAAAACAGTATACCATATATGCCAGCAGAATTCTCACACATCTCTTGCTTACCACACCACTTGATTGTATTATTTTTCTTGTTCTGATTTAATCTCCATTTGGTCCTAGGAGATGAAGACCATTATTTATTATGCAATGACACATTTTTCAGACCATCTCTCTGTGTTCAGTGACACTTGACTTCTCTCTTCCCCCGATGTTCCTGGTCTCCTCCCATAAACCGACTCCGTGCTGTTCCCATCCTGAAGAGAAGGGAGCCATTTCAGTCCAAGAGCAATGGGTTAACACCTACTTAGTTTAATATGCAGGAGTTGAATGCATGAATAAATTACTGAATAAATATATGAGTGCATTAATGAATAATGATGGGTTTTCCTTCTAAACACAATATTGACCTATGCTGGGGATCATTCTTTTACCTTCTGACCTTCCCTGCTTGTGCCAAATTTATTCAACTGCCTATTCTCTCCCAAGCATATTGCTATGATTCTATATCTATATCTGCATCTGGATAAATAGATATAAATAAACACACATAATGCATACAGATCCATATACACACATGTAAGTATACGTGTACATATATACATATGGACATGTACGTGTAAATGGCATAAAAGTGAATAAACAAATGTTGCTACATCCTTTCATGGGTGGCAGGACAGCAAGACAGGAATAATTTGTAATACAATGGAATATAAGGTTGTGGGGGTTTTTTGGTACCAGGGATCAAACTGGAGACCGTTCACTTGCAAGGCAGGCACAGCACCACTGAGCTAAGTCCCAGGCCCTACGGAAAAGAAGTTTTGAGATCAGACAGCTCTCCACTTGAATCCCAACTATGTTTCTAATCTGTAGTTTCTCTATAAAATGGTAATATTAACATATATGTTTTTATCTAGACCTTGTAGATCAGCCCGAAACCTAGCAGTCAGTCCTCCTGTCAGAGAAGCAGGTGTATAAGGCTCTAACCAAAGTCGTGGGAGCACAGAACAAAAATTGTAGAACATTGATATGTCTAGAGGAAGGACTTACTGAGAGTAGCGTGCGGCGGAGCAGTTTGAAGGAAGTCCCACATTAGTATTTCCATTGCTAGAAACTGTAAGCAGAGGCTGGGAGGTGGATAGGGAAAAGCGTTGACTTCATTGGTTCTGTGAACCTCCCAGGGAGCCGATGGAGCACACCTTTGGGCGTATCTAGGTGGATGATGGAAGTGTGGCTTTGAAGTCTATGTCTAACTCCTCACCACTTCCTCTATGGCGTTGTTCTCCTGTTTTACTTCCTGGCCAACGTGAATTCAGCAGCTTTGTTCCACACATCCTTTCACTGATGTTCCTGCCTTGGAGCCAGTCAACCATAGACTCAAACCTATAAAAAATGAGCCCAATTAAGCCTCTCTTTCTTTAAATTGTGGGTGTCAGGTATCGTTACCAGCAATGGAAAAGCTAACTAATAAATCTGGGAACTTCATTTTATTTAAGTGGAAGTTTTGTTCTGATGAAAAGATTCCTGGGCACACCCCAAGTAGAACATCAAAAGTTCAGTACAGCTTGAAAACACAGGCAGTTAAATTCTGTCAAAAACAGAACAGAGTTTCTTAATCCAATTTATTTTCTCTTCCTTCCTTTCCTTTCTCTCTCTCTCTCTCTCTCTCTCTCTCTCTCTCTCTCTCTCTCTCTCTCTCTTTTTCTTTCTTTCCTTTTCTCATTATGTAGTCCAGGATGGTCTTGCACTCACTAGGTAACCTGGGGTGGCATCAAACTCGTGGAAATCCTCCTGCTTCAGCCTCCTTAGTGCTGGAATTATAGATGTGTACCACCATATCCAGCAGGTTTGCATGAACTTCTAAAGAGGAGATATAAAAATATCAGACTACCAGTTACTATTTTTATTCAAGAATTGCTACTCCATAGGAAGATATAAAAATTTCTCTGTATTCATTTTTGCTGTTTTGTTTTTTATCCAATGCTACAAAAATAAGATTTTTCTTCTTAACGTCTTCCACTTGATGGTAGCTCTGGTATCTTTACATGTGTTAGTCATTACCAAAACACAGAAAAGACATTTTAGTTTTATATTGAGATTTCTCTCTCTCTCTCTTGCTAAGATTAGTTGTGACCCTAAAAGTCAGGGAAAGGGAGTCTTCTCACTAACTCTTTGTTCACATTAGGTTCTAGAAACTTCATTCTAATCTTAGCTTTTCAAGGTCTAGTGTTAGTGCTAAATTTATTGAGGAGATGATAATTAACCTCTGTCTTACCATTTGTCTCAGGTAGTTAGTGAAATCACAGCCATGATTCTCAACAAGAAATTATTTTGCTTACCTTCTCATCTGAATGTTTACAATATTTGGAGACTGTTTTTACTTGACATTACTGAGGTGTTGCTACTGGAATCTAGTGAGTAGAGGCCAAGGAAGTTACTCAACATTCTATAATGCACAAAACAATCTCCCACAACAAAAAATCATGCCTTCCAAAGTGTTCATGTTACCAAGCTGGGAAACCTTATATTATTGTGATATATGATGCCTGATGCAGTAATCTGTGGGAAGTGCCCGCTACATTAAATGAAGTATAGGGGTTGGGGCTGTAGCTCAATAGTAAAGCAATACATATGGCCCTGCATTTAATCTCTCTTGCACCTCAAAAACTGGTGCTTAAGAGTATGACTTTCCTGTTCATTCACTAGGATGTTACATGTGCTGTATTACAGGCCTTCTGGAAGATTAGATTATTCTCAAAATCACAGTTATAAATTTGCTTAAAATGAATTTTATTCTAAGGCATAAAAGTTTCTAAGTGATCTTCCATTCATTTAAAAATATTACATTAGAATGTCTGCTAACTTTCTGAAAGATGAATATCATAACCCAATGTGTGGTCTGACTTTTCAAAGCGATCTGCCCTGTAACTTCAGTAAGTGCCTTAGTGTCCACGACCTCCAAGGCTTATGTTTTCAATATGTAAGCGCATCTGCCTACCTCGAGGCAGATTATAAGTGAAAGGTAGTTGGATTATGTCTAGAAACCACTCTGTGAAGTGTAAGAGAAATGTAAATTGCTACTGCAGTTTTCGTGAAATAAAGTTTTTTAAAGCAATCAGATAATTGATTTTATAATGTTTTGTTTGGGGTTAGGAGAAAAATTACATAATTTTTCAGATGATTCAAAAGCCTGATATCTTTCTGAAATAAGTACCACATTCCTTGGAACCCTTGCCCATACCACCAACCAGTTTTACATTAATGAAAAGAGAAGAGAAATTCTTTAAATCTAATAGTATTTTAAGTGCACTGTAATTTAAATAAACACATGGCATTAGTTTTATTCGCCATGTGTGTGTGTGTGTGTGTGTGTGTGTGTGTATTTGCTTATCCATTTTTAAAAATTTGAATCCCAATCTCACATCAAAATTAATTTTTCAGGAAAGTGCATTTTTTTTCAGGGAGATAAGAACTAGTTCTTATCATACGACTTCAAATACCAGTTAGAGGATTGTTCGTAATCTCACTGTGCAGGCAAAAGAAGTAATTCTAAGGGGAGATTATTCACTGAAAAGAGGTGAGTAGCTGTACCAAGCAAGAAGGCACATGCTCAACTGCCTGCACAGGATCAGGAAGGGCACTCAAGCGAGGCAGTTGTAAAACAATAGAGAGACTGGAGAGGGCAGTGCTCCGCCTCCCCTCAAGGCACTGCTGTCAGGTTGGATTTAGTCCTAGTGCTAAAGATCCTAAAGTTATTATGGACAAGCTAATAATACTAATGTTTTTGTGAAATTTCCATGTTTAAAAAATCTATACAGTAAATTTCCATTTAAAATGTACTACTGTACTTTAATCTAGTCGCGTAAGGTAATATTTTTACCCTGAGGTCCCAAACTTTAAAAAAGAAACAAGAAATGGTTGATGAATGGCCATTTCCATTTTCTCAGTAAACTTCATTTGTTTTCTTAGTAAACTATCTGCATGGACTAGAAGAACTATAAGGATGTTATGCCATGATTGTTACCTGGAAGAGTCCTTAGACATCAGTGTGCCTTGGTCTCTCCTCTTCTTCCAGCTATTTCGCTGACACCTACCAGAGAAAACCAGACTTGCAGAGGAAAGGTCTTCAAATTCTTGCCATGTAATTCAAACTAGAGTATAAGACTCCTACTTGTAGATGTCCTCTTTTGCCTTCAGGCATTTTATACCTAGCAGTTTTGGTCCCTTACATTCTGGTATCTTTCTGCCCCTACCAGACTACAAAAGGCTTGAAGGTAGCACTGGGATCCAATTTGTCATGAAACCCTTAGTATCTACAATGGTGTTAAGATCTTTACAGGTAGAGTTGCAGAGTACAGGGCCACAATATGTGAAGGTTTCTTTAGCTCCTCCTCCTTTCTAAAATCTGAATTGGAATGTCTCTTTGTGAGAGGTATGATATCTATGGATACTCAATATTCCCCATCTTTCTATCTTAATTGCTATAGACAGTTTATACATTCATGTCTTCCACAGAGCACTTAAATTTATAGGTATTAAATATCAAATGAGAAGTCAGTTGACCAAATGTACATTTTTTTAGTAGGATAAACAACTGTCCTGGTATTAGAAATAAAGTATCTGCTTTCAGAGAACCCCTTTGATCCTGGAAGAATCAGACTGGTTGGTCATTTTTTCTGCAGAAACAACTTTTATCAAAATAATAGAAAAGTGTTAATAATTTACATTTCTAGCAAAAAATAACTCAAATAATGGCACTACTCAGATAAAAATCAATGTACCTCTCTTAGAAAACGGGGGAAGTAAAAAACCATGACCTAATTGTACTCTAGGGCCATTTATTAATCTTGAAGAGCATTTATCATGATCTTTTCCTGAGAATAGCTGCTTATATTTCATGTGGCTCTAGTATATTTCAGTCTGGGGGCAGAGTCTAGGCTTTTAGAAGTGCCTTAAGTATTCTCTGTAATTGTCACTTAACAACTTCCCAAGCACAAGATCCAAATAATTCTTCTTTAGCCTTTGTGATAAGTATGCTTCCCTTACAAGGTTTAATGCTGGGAGAAGCTGCCGGTGATAACCCTTCTATGTGGTCTTGCTTCCTCCAGAAACCTTATCTTAAACCCTGCACCTAAGTTTTTAAAAGGAGAACAATTTGATGCCCTTGTCTGTTTGTCTCAATTAAAAAGCACTGACTCCAGCCACAAGCACTTTTCCCACAAGATGCAAGAATTAAGACACTCATGAATTATTGAATAATTTATGAGTAGGTGTAAGGCATAGCCTGTGGCTTCACCAATTCCCTTCCCTTCTCCTTTCTCCAAGCTGTGCAGGTCCCTGAGGACTTCTGGGTTTACAAAGGAGTAAACTCTCTTGCTCCCTTGTCACCCCCCTGTCTCCCTTAAATATTTAAAATATTTAAATAGAAACAACAGATTTACAAAATTTTTATTTTGCTTTCAACTATTTACAAGATAAGTGTCTTCTCTGAGAATGGATTTGAAAGAACAAAATAGCATGGGTAAAAATTAAACCGGAAGGAGGAGGAAGGAGAAAGTAGACACAGAAGGGAGACTAGAAAAGAGGAAACCTTATCTTCTGCTTTATTTTCTATATCCATCGAAGTCTCTAGATGTCTGTGTGTTTCTCCATTTGAAATCTTGTCTCTACATCGTACCTTGGCAATCTAGCACAAATGGTACGAGGCAAAATTGCTTTTTAAAATATAAGCCATAATAGAAACTTACAGTGATATTTGATTTTAAAATGTATTACTGTAAAAGGCACATTGCCACCCACCCCCATCTGTATATTCCTCCTTAACAACACATTTATCAACCTTGCCACTTTCCGAAGCAATTCTGGAAGTTCTCTTTCATGAACGTCTTTTGTTGCACTATTTTGGCTGCTCTGATGTACTGAATCGGTCCAAAACATTTCTCTTTCATGGTCATTTTGACTTCGGAGAAGAGCCAGAAGTTGCACAGTGTCACGTCGAGTACATAAAGTGGAGTGAGGACACATAGCGTGTTTTGGCAAGCCTGTCTCTCCGTGAGATGGCATTTGGCAGCCACATTCACTGTATTTTTTATCAGAGCTCATAAAGACACTCAAGAAAGAACTTCCAAAACTGCTTCGGAAAGAGGCAGGAAGCCTAGCATGGTGGTGCATACCTGTAATCCCAGCACTTGGGGGGCTGAGGCAGGAGGATCGCTGTGAGTTCAAGACCAGCCTGGGCTACGACGTAGCGAGTTCTACGTCAGTCTCAACTACATAGTGAGACCCTGTCTCAAAAAACCAAAAAAAAAAAAAAAAAAAAAAAAAAAAAAAAAAAAAAAAAAAAAAAAAAAAAAAAAAAAAAAAAGATTTTCAAAAAAAAGAAAAAAGAAAGAGGCAAGAAAGCAGCAAGTGGGATAATTGCTCAGATCAAAAGGGGAGGGGTATTTTAAGGGGGATTCACGGCACCCTTTTATTGCAGATTTTTAAAGTTTAAACATGCATTGTATATTTCAATCACACTTCATATAATCTTTATTTTATGTACCGTACTTGACTATTAAAATGAGATGCAACCGGAAGAATTTATATTAGTTAAACATCTTTTTAATATTTGTAGAAAGGGTTTCCAAATTATAATGTAAATGTATGCAAGGCATGCAAATCACAAGCTTCTTCAATTTTGATGTCGTAAAACCTGCTTCTCTTACCGAAAGCCCCCACACTTTTCCCCCAGCTCCACTGAAAGATGAAAGTGTCAAACGTGATCTTTTTTCAGTCTTTCCCCTTGGAATTCCTGTCATTCTTATTTAGCATACCTTATTTCTTCATGGAAATAGCACTGTTTGGTTTATTAAAAATTCATGGGATAGATTTCCCTCTTGAGTACATAGAGCCTAAGGCTTTCAATGATTCTATATCATTGCCCAAAAACTTACCTATACTTAAAAGATTCATGAATTTAGAGAATTATTATTACAAAAATGTCCACAATGGTTTTTTTAGAGTTATACGAATACAGAATTAGAATGAACCATAAGGTCATTTGTCTTATCTACTTATAGGAATATTTGCCATATATATATATATTTTTTTTAAACAGATAACTTCATTCTTAGAAAATGTCATCACTCACCTTCATGTATAGATATTTGAATGAAGGGGCTTATTTCTTGTGGAATAATGCTTTTAAACTGCCGTGGAGATGGTTCTAGTTTTCTTTACTAGATGACTAGGGTTTTAAAGTAGTCTCTATGCATTACAGTCCTTATTGTCTAAATGTTCATAAATGCATGTTTCATGAACCAGTCCTAAGTTTCTATTTCTCTCTCAGATAATATTTGACTTCTTTGAACACACAGCTCTCAATACATCTCATGAACTTCGTAGTTTTGTGCTGGTTATTTTACAGCCTTAACACCTAGCACAGAACTTGCAAGTCCATAAATGTTAAAGGCCAGGGACTTCTACAAATCGAAGATCCACAAAAGGAGCCCATAGGAATTCAGAGCCTGAAAGTTTGGGATCTGGGGCTCTAGTGTTAAATTATTCCATTAAGAGCTGCATTTCATGTTATGGTTCTCATTGGTTATTGGCATCATTCAAGATTAAAGAACTTTATGCACCGAGTGCTGCTCAATGCATGTAATACTATTATTAGTAATGCTCTAGATATCACTGTTTCCTTCATGACAGAAACTCTTAGAATTACCCATCTGGATTACTATTGTGTTCATCCCTTCATAAATACCATCCTTCAGAGATGTATTCTAGAAGATAATGCATTAAAATGGTGGGGATTTATAAATTCAGACCTGAAACTGTGCAAATAATTGGAGCATAAACATCTGGCCATGTCTGATAATAACAGAAGTCATTTATCAAGTTCATCCTGTTCTAAGGACTGCAGAAAAACTCTTTGAAAATGCCATCTTCAGTAGTCCTCACAACAACTTTGGCAGGTAATGCGATCATCTCCATTTTACACTGGAATAAACAGAGTTTGAGAAACCTCAAATGGCTTAGCCACAATTTTCAAGATAAAAGGCCATAAATATAAGTTTGATTTCAATGCCTTACCATTTCCTACATTGATGATCCATAATCAAATTGTTAATACTGATGG